AACGCGTTGTCAGGCCAGGACACTGACGGGGGGACGTGATGGACAGCCAGACGCCTGCCCCATCCAGCACTTTCTGCAGCTAATGACTGACCCAGACCACTGGCCAGAGACGCGGCACCCTCTTCCTCATCACCTGCTTCCCAAGTGGCCTTGCCCGTCTTGGGTTCTGAGTTAGCGTCTGTTACGGACTGAATGTTTGAGACCCTTCAGAATTCACATGTTGAGGCCCTGACCCCGCTGGAACTGAGTTTGGAGATAAGGCCTGGGGGAGGAGCTCAGGGTTAAGCGAGGTCATCGGGCCCTGATCCAATAGGGCTGGTGCCCTTATAAGAAGAGAAGAGACACCGGACTCTCTCTCTCCACCATGTGAGGACACCGTGAGAAGGTCGCCCACCTGCAAGGCGGGAAGAGGGCCATCACCAGGACCCACCTTAGCCTGTGCCTGGGTCGCGGACCCCCAGCCTCCAGAGCCCTGGGAAAATAAATGTCTGTTGTTTAAGACCAGTCGGTGGTGTTCTACCACAGCAGCCTAAGCCGACTAAGACTTTTACTTGCCAAAGACTAACATGTATACACCAGCAGGGATGGGAGCTGGTCCTGACATTAAGTGACGCTGAGTCACAGGGTGATCCAAAGTGTCCATCTTTCAGCCTGCTTTCTGACCCACACAGGAGAAGCCTCCGTTTGACGCTAGTGCATCTCTAACCTGTCTTCAGCTCTTGGCAAAAGTCAGGGAGCGGGTTTGCCAGTGACCAAAGTTCAGGTAACGTTGATCTAAGTCTTCGTCCTTGAGGGAGCGAAGGGAGAGAAATGCGGAAAGTATGAAAGACCCGCATAGTTTAACGAGATCCCGACCAACTAGGAACGAGCTGGGTCCCAGAGACACTTGGTGGCTTGCCCAGGGCCTCAGATGGCTACTTCTCCCCCTCTTCAACTTCAAGTTTAATGAGGAAAGTCACGCCGGGTGAGGGGTCCTTTGTCAGACAACCGGAAGAGAGACACTAGACTCCTCCGCTTTTATTCTGATCTCAGAGTAAGGGCTGAACAAGTCCCACCGAGGAGAGAGGAGGAGGCGGCCGGGAACGTAGGAGGAAGACTGAGTCGTGGGAAAGAGGAAGACTTGGTTCAGGACACAGACTGCAGAAGTTACATGGATGAAGAATTTAGCTCAAAAAAGAAAGAAATTCCTTTTTTTTGAAGATTTTATTTATTTTTATTTTTAGAGAGGGGAGGAAGGGAGAAAGAAAGGGAAAGAAACATCAGTGTGTGGTTGCCTCTCACACACTTCCTACTGGGGACCTGGCCCGCAACTCAGGCATTGCCCTAACTGGGGCTTGAACCAGGGACCCTTTGGTTTGCAGGCCAGCACTCAATTCATTGAGCCACAGCAGCTAGGACTAAAAACAGAAGAAAGAACTTTCTAATGGTGCTGAGGCTGCAACTGGCTGTGCCAGGAGACAGGGAGAGGCCCACCCTCTCCATCAGTGTATTGATTTGTTAGAGATACAGTCTTTCCTTCCTAGTGCTGGCTTTCCCCACGTGTGTAGGGTTCCCGACTGCATGGTTGTGTTGGGGGACAGAACCCTCCCACAGACTGCGGTACATGGGAGCCCTTGGAAGCTTCCAACCCTGGAATCCCAGCTTGTCTTCAGACAGCTGGGAGAGCAAGTCAGTCTCCTAGCTCACCTCCTCCCCGTCCCAAAACAACATGCCTTTGAGCTCCAGGATGGGAGAGGAGGGGAAGCTGAACCAGACGAGGAGATTGAACGTGAATCCGGATTAAACCCTAGAGGAAATGTTTGCCCCTGTTCCTGAGATGTGATTGACTCTGGCCTGGCAGCAGGTGTCTGAGGCTCTCAGGAGGGGCTTGGGGTCCGGCCACTTGAGGTTCAGACACGGCTGCTCAGGTGAGAGGCCCGCCAGACCACCTAGGGTGCTTGTGAGTTACAAAGGTAGATCTTCTAGCCTAGTTCCCTGTAGGGTTCTTCAGTGTGGGGCTGATTTTGATGGCAGTGATCGAGGGGCTACATTTTGCCAAACAACAATCAAAGATGTCTCTGACAGCCGTGCTCCCGGGAGAGGTGGGCAGTGGGGCAGGTGGGGGATGTTCTTGGCCAGGACCAGGGGTACCAGAGGTTTTTGTCCATCGGGTATTCCCGAGAAGGAAGGAGGGCAAGCTGGGGTTCTGCAGCTGTAAGATAATAGACTCATGGACATTTAGAGTCTCAGCAACAGGCTCTTATTCATAGTGAAATAAAAGAATCTTAAAGTAAGAGAATGTATTCGCCGTAGAGCTCAGTGGGCAAGAATCCATGATACTCAGAGTGCGACTTGGGTGCCTGCTAGCCGGGCAACTGACACCGTGTTACTACACCTCTCTGAGCTTCTGTCTCCTCATTGGTTAAATGGGCAACCTTGTAAGTGTAAGATAATGCTCCCCAGGACCGTCCTTACGTACGGACGAGTCAGGGCAATGAAAGGATGTGGCAAGGAATTTAATGTATGGTAAGGGCTCCACAAGTTCTTATCATCAGTGGCTGGGTCATCGGGTCTTAGAGCCACACGTGACCTTAGAGATGGTCATCCAGGGAGAACAATGCTGATGTAGTGACCCCTGGGGGGAGAGGAATCAGTAAAGACGCCGGGTGTGCTATGGCTTTCTGGCTCAGCTTCTCTCAACCTGGCCCCCTGGTGGTTGGCCCCCAGCCTGATGGAAGCAGCCCTTGAACCACGAAGGGAGCTTGGAGGTCCAGCTCCTGCAGACTCCGAACCTGAGACTGTTGCCTCTCCCCATCTCCTGACACGCACTTGGCAGAGCTCGCAGGCTAGCTGCCTGTGGGCGTCAGGGGGCTCAGCCGGGGAGAGCAGGGCTGTGTCCTCCCTCCCCCTGCTCTGGTGTTTAATCAAAACAGTATTCAAAATATGATTCTGGGAGATTATATCGGGAGATTTGCAGGAGGCGCTCGGTGGGGGCAGAGATGGTGGGAACAGATTGCTGCTGAGGGCCTGAGGCTGGGATAATCGCAGACTGAGGCCATTCTCAGGCCCTGCACTGGTACCCTGGCGTGGAGACTGAGACCACCCTGCATTTTACAGCAGGGGAAACTGAGGGAAGGGAAGGGGCTTGTCTGTGCCACGTAATAAGTAATGGGGTTGAGATGGCAAAGCCATTTTCTGGGATTCCTGGCGACTCTTTTTGGTCCTTCTCTGAGCCCACTGTCTCCAGCCAACCAGGCCCAGACCCTGGGGACGGCCCTGGCTGCAGACTCCTGCTGTGGGTTGGGGGAGGCAGGGGGAAGTCAGGCCTTCGGAGGTGGTTCACGCAGGGTGGCTGGGCTGGGCCTTCTCTCCCAAGACTCACTGTTTCTGTGAAAGGCTGGGTGGGCGGGAGGCAGTGTGCAGGTCAGATGCCCCCAGCCTCTGTCCTTTGCTCTCTGTTCAGGGACTTGGCCTCTGGCTTAGGTGGGTCCCTTCTCTCTGGCTCTCACTTTCCTGTCTCCAAGTGCTGACTCAGTGTGATGTTGAGGCCCCCCCCCCCGAGTCACCGAACGGCTCCCTGGAGCCCCACTCCCAACCGCAGGCCCTAGGAACAAGCCTCTGTCCACTCAGCAGCCTCCGCTGGGGTCTACCTGGTCCCCCCAGGAGGGGGCGTGGTCCGGGGGCGCCTTGAAAGAAACCGGCGGTTAATGCTCTTTATTACAAGCGTTAATCCTGCAAAGCCGACTGGAAATAATGTTTATCTTTTCGCAGTTTAATTTCCCGGACCCTAAGCCACGGGTCAGTGAGGGCGACAGGAGGGTCCCCAGGGAGGCTGGCGTAGGCGCAGCTGTCGCCCAGAGGCAGAAGGAGAGCAGGGAGGGGACTTCCCAGAGGAAGTGAGGGAGAGGAGAATGAACCTGAAAGGACCCTGCGTGTAAAACTGGGCTCCGTCCCAGCAGGGTTTCTGCGTGACCCTGAGCCAGTGCCTCGCCCCCCCCCCCAACTTGGCCTCAGTTTTCTCCTCTGAGGAAGGGTTTTGTGTTTTTGTGTTGCATGATCTCTAAAGCCTCTTCTGACTCCATTCTAGAGGAAAGAAGACAGGTGTCCTGGCGCCTGTTCTCCCGGGGAACACCCCCGCAGGCTCCCCTCCACCTCCAATGGTTTTTAAATCTCTCTCCCTCCCTTCTGCCCCGGGACAGGGACCATTCTCGCCCCAGACTTCAGAGCCTGACCGCCTGGCCCCTGGAAGGCCATCTCCCCAACCGGGGCGGCCCGGCTGGAGCCCAGCAGTGGAGACCCAGCTTCTCAAGGACCCAGCGCGCGGGCCACACCCCAGCTGCCCTTCCTGCCACCACCCGCCCCCCACTAGGCCCTCCAGTGCCCTGGGAGCAGCAGTGAGCGCGCGCGCTGGCTGAAGCCAGAGCCACTGCGCCAGGGACGCGGACTCCGGCGCGGGCATCTTTAAATCTGTCCTCCCCGCGGCCCCCGCCCGATTCCGGACCCCGCCCGTCGCGGGGACCGAGCCCCCTTTCTCCGTCCGCTCGCTCCCATTGGCCGGCCTGCACTGGAAGTGTTTGCGGACCCCGATGAAAGGGGGAGAACGCCCCTACTCCCCTCCTGGCGTCCGTCCCACCCAAGGAGCGAGGGGGGTCCCAGCGGCCAGTGCCGGGGGACCGCCGGGACGACCCCATCGCCCCTCCTCCCGATGAACTGAAAACCCGAGTGCGAACCGGAAAACCCAGGCGGCTTCCAGACAAATGTCCCCACCACTCCCAGCACCCCCGGCCTCCCAGACGCGCCCCCCACCCCCGACCTCCGCGCAGACGGATCTGCCCCTAGACAGGCGGACTCAGCGAGCTGGCTGCGCGGGCCGAGCAGCGGGCGACAGGGCCTTGGCCAGACGCCTGTCCATTTCCGTCCCTGTGGTTGAGGGACTGAGGTCAACAGCCCACCCCGCCCTGTCCCCATTCCATGGTTCCCAACCTCCCCAGGCACCCCCGTCACAGAGAGGCCACACGGCGTAGGTTCGGCTGGGTCATTTTTAAGGACACAAGGAGTGGGGAAGGGCAGAAGACAGGTGGTCCTTGGGGGCCGGGTCAGCTTGGAGGTTACAACGTGGGGGAGCGCGAGTGAACAGGAGTGGGGAGCAGCTTCGGCCCCGGAACCCAGAGGAGGGCGGCAGCCTCGCCCCCGCCCCCCAGGTGCCCTGCCACTTCCTCCGGGACCCACCCGGGGGCAGCCTGCCACCCACTTCCGTTCTGCGTGCAAGGAGGGCCTGTGGGAGGGTTTCTCTGTGTCCGTCTCTTAAGCAAAGTGAGAGCCCCCAGTTCCTGGTGGGGTCTCCCAGCTTCTCAGCGTGAAGGTGAGTTCAAAAAGTGGGGCTCGTTTCCAAGATCCTTCCGCCAATCGCAAATCGCACCGTTGCGCTAACCTGCTGAGAGAGGAAAGGTTGATTAAAACCCGAAAGCCGCTTGGTGGCGATTCCTAGGAAATCGGGAGGTCAGAGGTGTCTCGTCCGAAGGGAATCGAAGGTCTAGAAGCAATTTGCTTGCCAGAGGTAGCATTTGGACCCCGTTATGTGTACATTCAAATAACAATGTAACCCAATTTTCCAAGCCAGCAGCTAATCCTGAGAGAAATTACTACAAAGAGCAGAATCTGACAGTTACCGCCGGAGGCTGCCAACTGCTTGGGGGATGTCCCTTTGCGGGGTGAAGTTTCCTTCCCCCAGGCAGGGCCAGAGAACCAGCCTGGGGAGGAGGCACTGATTGGCAGTCACACCCTGCTTAGGAGTGAGGTCTTGGGTGGGGGCGCGCTCTCCAGAGGCAGCCCCAGCCCCAGACTACCCTCCCCAGGGTGTTAGCCGGCTGCAGAGGGGACGGCAAGCTCTCTGGCGCGCTGGCTTTAAACCAACTGCACGTGTCTGGCCCTGCCCTCCATACTTCCCAGGAAGAGCTAGCAAACTCTTGATACGAGCACAGCTGGGGCCCACTGCCCTGCGCTGAAGGTCGGGCAGGAGACAAGGGCACCTGGGCCAAAGGGTGCCAACCTGGTGCATTTGGTAGAACCAGTGGCAGGAGTGCAGAGATGTAGGTTGCCCATCTCTTCAATGACTTTCTAAGTGATCCTGGGCAAATTACAGTCTCACTTTGAGCTTATCACTACTATCTAGGCTTTAATATGAGGGGCAACTAGAAATATTGTTTCTAAGCTCCCATTTCAGAGTACTGTGGGACCACCTAGTGCCAGGGCGAACCCGAGCAGGCCCAATAATCAGAGAAGATGTTCAATGGCTGGACAGCACTTGGGCAGGTGTCTTTTGGACCCACTGCCAGCGCGGTTGGGGGCCACTACCTTCTGCTCCAGACGGGTACTGGCACTGCGGGACCGGCTCCCTCCGCCGTGGGCACTGCGCACAGTTCGGGGGCGGCCTCTGCAGCGCAAAAGTGGGCTTTCCAAAGGCCTTGGCTACGGGAGAAGACTCGTCACAAGCGGAGTCTCTGGGGACCGTGCTTCGCCCGCCCAAGCCTGGAGGCTGTCCGGGAATCACTCGGCACTCCGGACTTTGTGGCTTGGGCGGGGTCGGAGGCGCACCTTCAACAGTGCTGGCTGCCGCAGTGTGCGCCAGAGACCAGATGCGCGGTTTCTGGCTGCGTGGGTAGTGCACGGTCAACATGGGCCCCCCTAGCTCTGCCCGGGGAAAGTCAGCCTCTCCGGATCCGGGGGGCTCACTGAACAAGAAGTGGGGCGCCGCCAGACCACAGTCCCTGCGCTCCAGCCGGCCCACTCGACCTGCAGCACAGTGCGCAGGCAGCGTCTGCACGTCCTTATGGAACTCAGCCAGCCTGTCCGTAGCTATGACTGCTGCCTCCTCTTCTTCGGCCTCCTCCTCTTCCTCTTCCTCCTCCTCTTCCTCTAGATCTTCCAGGTCACTCAGCCGGAGTCCCTGAGCTTCCTGGCTAGCAGCAACTCCTGCAGGAAACCAGGAGCGAGTGAGAAAAGCCCCAGGCCCCAAGGGAAATCCACGGGAGTGCCCATCACGGAGGGGAAGCTTTTAGCAAGATGCGCCCGAAGTCACAGCATTCTCGCAGTCATTCACCAGGCCACCACACCATCCCCTACCCTTGCCCCTGGGGGAGGGTTCCCACCCCCGCACCCCGCCTTGACCCCACCCCTTAGAAGTCTCCTCCTCTCCCTGAGCCTCCAGACCAAGGACACCCACAGTGGGCGCTGCTGTCCTAAGACCCGGATCTCAGTTTGTCAACCTTATGAAAGCAAGGGGATTGCTTGTTTACGATAATAACAATAAAATAAAAATACATAAATAAATTTGAAACAGAGAAAGAAAAAGAAGCAAGGGGAAAATTTCTGCCCAATTTCCACCCCCACAGGTGGCTGGTGTGCACGGTTTAAACCGGCAAATGTTTGCAGAGTGCGCACGATGGGACAGACATCATTTAGGCATTCATTTCGGGAAAGACACCTTCTAGAAGGAGCGGAAATTCTGGAAGGGGTCACAGTGATCAGTGTGGCACAGGAAGTAAAAGGGGCTGACAATAGAGAACTGGAAATCTGCATTGGTGTAGGTGACCTGAGAAGGCTTTTGGTGGGGGGGGGGGGCACTTGAAAATCCAGAAGCAGCTGCTTCTGCGGGGAATTCAGGGCGGAGGGCAGAGAGCAGGCGCAGGCTCCGAGGCCTGCAACGGGCAACCAAGGGGTGACTTCCGTCACGGCCGCTCCACCGGAAGCTGGGTGGTGGGCGGTTTTGGTACCTTTGGTGTCTCCGTTTAGGCAGCCCCGTGACTCCTCTGCTCCACTCCCTGCCTTCCTCTCCTCTCCGCCTTTGTTCTTGGGCGCCCAGGTCATCTTGTTCTCCTTCTTGAGGCGCCGGCGCGCGTTGGCGAACCAGGTGGACACCTGGGTGAGGGTCATCTTGGTGATGATGGCCAGCATGATCTTCTCGCCCTTGGTGGGGTAGGGGTTCTTGCGGTGCTCGTTGAGCCAGGCCTTGAGCGTGCTCGTGGTTTCCCGGGTGGCGTTCTTCCGGCGCCCGGCGCCACTCAACTCCATGGCACCATACCTGCAAGGGGGAACCTGGCTCACAGTTCTGGGGCCGGCAAGCTGGTTGTGCAGCCCGGAAGTGAGGCTCTGCCCCTCTCCCTCCCCACTCAGCTCTCTTGCCACGCTCTGCCCAGATCGGCCCTACCTGGTCACGGAAGAGGGAAGGACTTCCTACCCCAGTCCCCAGTGGGCCCCACGCCTTACCGGTCATACTGGTATTGCCCCAGAGTCGGCTCGTAGGGACAATAGGCTCCTGGTTGTGACAGGCCAGGTGTGAAGTTCCCTGCACTCTCCTTAAATTCATACTGTGCGTTCTGGTGGGGGAGGAAGAAAGAATTCGGGACTAGGTACAGTTGGGGAGGAGAAGAGGCGGGGCAGTTGCTCAGGGTGCAAACTCAGAGTCACTTCTGGTTTAAATCCCAACACAACTAGTTGCGGTTGGATGTGTGAACTTAGGAACAGTTAAGCGCGCCGTGCCTCAGTTTCCCCTTGGTAAAATGGGGATAACAGTCGTCCCTAGAGGTTATTGAAGAAGAGCACTAGGCAGAATTCCTGGTGCAGAATAAGCAGTAGATAAATATTAGCTGTTGTTACTACCATCAGCACTGGTGCGTCCCTCCCTCTCCCACCGTCCCCTCAGGCTTCTTGTGAAGCTGTTGCTGTGTGGCTCTGACTTTGGGGAAGGAATTGACCTCTGTGCCTTAGCTTCCTCATCTGTAAATTGATTAAAGGGATGACTTGCCTCCCTCACAGGATTAATAGAAGTGCAAATGTTTTCCAAACAGTCTGGACTTCTGCAAACTGCAAAATGGTGTAAATATTTATTGCTCCCTTTTATACGCAAGCCTAAACGCTTCCTGTACGCGCCGTGGTGCGTCCTGCCTCGATGCTCACTGGCTCCCCCCACCCCCCAGCTGCCGTTCCGCGCCCCCAGGCCCGGCGGGTTCGGGCGCACAGACCCAGGCCCCACCCCGTGTACTCACCAGCGTCCCGTACAGCGCGGGCGGCTCCGGGCTGTAGGGCAGGTACCCCGGATAGCTCTGGGCAGCCGCAGCGGCCGCGTAAGGGGCTCCGTAGATGCCCAAGGCCGCGCCCAGCTCGGGCCGCGCGCTGCCCAGCAGCCGGCTATCGTAGGGTGCTAAGCAGAGAGCCGCCGCCGCTGGGGTGGAGCCTGAGGCCACGTCTGAGACGGAGCAAGGGGAGGATTCGCAGCAAGTGGCGCTGGAACTTGCAGACACCAGGAACTACGGGGGCGACAGAGGGGGCACCGGAGGTCAGAGACCGGCGCCTCGGGCTGGCGGGAGCCAGCGGCGGAACTGCGGGATCTCTCCCTTCACCCTCATCTAAATGCCTCCGTGCGCGGAGCATCCTGCGGAGCACTGGAACGGGAGTTACCCGAAGACGCAGTTTATCCACACTGCCCTAATAGATACTTCTAAGCCTTTGCTAAGGTTTCAGAGTCCCGGGGCGTCGGAGCATGGGGGCCATTCTGAAAGCCGAATTGCAGAAGACAGACTAGGCCGGGTCCCTGGCGTCCCCCCGCCCCTTCCCTTCCATCACGGGCTCCTACAGAGGCAGAGCTAGAAGTTGGCCGTGGAGACCTTCATCACGTCTCACACCCACCCCCATTTTATAGAAAGGGCATGAAGACCAGAGAAAAGTGTAGACTCGTCCGAGACCCCAAAGCAGGGCAGAGGTCAGGCTGGGGACTGGACCCAGGAAAATACATCCTGCACTCTGGGGAGACACTGGAGAACAGAGGTGGGTGTCCCCAGAATTTTCCCAGGAAACCCCTCTCCCAGCACAAGACCCACAGTGGTCTGGAAAATGGAAGGAACCAGAAGCAAGGAGCTTGGACGGACCAAGGAAGGGGGAAGACGATGGGCACAGAGGCCAACCAGCAACAGCACCGGCAACCTGCGAGGTGGGCAAGGCTCTGGCCTGGAAGTCTTCTTCCCCCAGAGACCCTCCTGGCCACCTCGGATCCCGGTACAGTAAGGAGGCCTGTCTGGGAGATCTCCGAGATCCCACCCACCTCGCTGAGTGGGAGGTCAGAGTGTCCAAGTTTCCCATCACTGGAGTGGACCTTTCTCAGCCAGGGACTGGGGATGTCAGAGAGGACTGTGGCACATTACGCTGGTCCCTGGTCCCTCTAGTTTCCCAGGAGACTCGTGCCAGAGAAGAGCCAAAGGCGCTCAGGGGCAGGTGCATTCCCTGGGCACCCCCTCCACCCAGTGCGTCCATCTCCCATGAAGGTGCCTCTTACCTGGGAAGCGCTGCCATACGGGTGTCCAAAGTGCGGGAAGGACATGGTGGCTGTCCTTGGCCTGCCTCCGTCTTCTTTTGCTTGTTCCCACCTCAGCCCCACGGTTCTGCGTCTCCAGCCGTGTGCAGCCTCCGCTCCTTACACGGCTGCGGGTGCCCAGCGCCGGTTCCTCCGCCCGCTTAGCGCTACCGGAGGCAGAGCCAAGGGCAGCCCGACTGCCAAGTCCTGCGCTCTAGAAGGCGCTCCACCGGCCCGAGTGGTCCGGAGGACAGAAGGGCCCATGGATGGGAAGGGAGAGGAAGCAGGTTCCCAAAGGCGCGCGGTGGCGAGGCAAGGTGAGGCGTGGCGTGGGGCTGTGCTGCTCTCGAGGTGTCCCAGTCCAAGGTGGCCAGAGGCTGAATGTGACGTCACGGTAATCCCGGGCCCCCAGGCCCTGCGGCCCCGGGCCACCAAATGCGCCAAGGGCAGCCAGCCCGTGCGCGCGCACACACTCTCACCCACACTCACACTTGTTCCGGGAGATTTGTGCGGCTGGTGAGGAATGTCAAAGACCCTGACCCTCTCTGCTTGGCTCTGGATCCTACTCCTTTTCGCTTTACACTCGCGCGCGCGCGCGCACACAGACAATCTCTCCAAATTACCCGGGAGAAGTAGGAGAAACGCCTCCCTCTGCGTCGCGCAGGCCCGGGGCGCAGCGCGCTCACCTCCTCCCTGCGGCCCGGAGGAGAAAAGAAGCAACCGAGGCGGCGAAGGAGGGGAGAATACAAAAGAAGGCACACGAGGAAAAAGAGGAGAAAAGTGGGGGAGAAACGCAAGAGGGAGAAGGAGGAGGGGAAAGGAGAGAAATGAAAAGTCTAAGCGAACAGAGGCACGCTGGGGAGGGGAAGGCACTGGGGTGGGAGAAGGCTGGGCGGAGGAGCGCGCACCGGCAGGTGGAGGAGAGCAGAGCTCGGGGGAAAACTCTCCAGCCCGTCGCCCCCGCCCCTCCGCCGCAGGAAAGTTTGTACGCGGCACAGGCCCTGTGCTCCTTGGGGCAGCGCTGGGCGGCGTCGGCGAATCCCACTGGCCCGCTCGTCTTTGTCCTCGGGGATCTGGATCCCCTCTCCAGTCTCCCCAAGTCTAGCTGGATTCAGGCCCTTCAAGCCCTGGCCTTTGCTAGGGCCTTACCCCGGGGCTTCGCTGAAGCCCTATGGCCTTCGACTAGGCAAAAGAGCTCCCCCTCGAGGCCAAGGTTCAGGTCCCTTCGGAGTCTAACTGGAAACGCGCCAAGTCTGACCCTTGGCATCTGAAAACTGCGCTAAGACCCTCGGGCATCTCCTGGCCAGGTGAGGCTCCGCTGCTTCCTGCGCACCGCCCGCAGTGGCCGGGGGAAGCGGGGAGCCGCAGGAAGGCGCCGGGGCCGAGCTGCAGCCGCGGCGCTCCGCTGGGGGTGGCGCTGGCGAGCCGCGGTTCAGCGGCCCATTCTCTGCGTTCCGCCCGGGCGCCTGGCTGGGCCTAGCGGCCTGCCCACCCTGCTTCATCCCAGGAGTCCTCAAGGGGACACTGATGGGCGCAGGAGCTCGTTGGGGCAGGGGAAGTGGCTACGTCCTCAATGCCTGACCCCCCGGAGAAGCGGCTGCAGTTTGCCAGCACCGTAGACGCCGCACACCCGAAGGGACTGGAGGAGCCACCCGAGGGCCTCCCTTACTCATTGCCTGAGTACGAAAAGGAACGGCCGGTCTGGAGATCTTGGGCGGATGCTGCCGGAAAGCCGGAGGAACTGCGGCTTTCGGATTTGCAGGCCGGCAACCTCAGAAAGCCTAGCCTTTCGCTCACGATGTCACCGCGCTTTACGGTTTACAAAACGCTCTCGCTCTCCCAGGCCCTCACCTCACCTCTCCGGAGGAATGCGGCGGTGGGAGGTGCGGGCGAGGGTGGCGGGGTGCGAGGGTTGGTCCAGGGACTCAGTTTTAGTTCCTGAATTGAAACGCGAGAACATGTGGCCCGCAGGTTAGGGACGCCCTGGGTCTCTGCCCTGGGTCTCTGCCCTGGGTCCTGGCGAGATGAGGAGGGAGCCCACTTACCAGGCAGGGTCTGGGACCCGGTTGGCCTCTGGCACCTTGCGGAAGGGATTGGTGGGCCAGGAAGCCAGCGACCTCTTTAGAACAACATCTCCAGCTTTTTTTTTTTTTTCCTTTTTCTCATTTTAGATTCTGCAGGAGTCTTTTTAGATTCCGCGCGAGGTTCTACAACAAGCCGCAAACCGCAGGCTCTGCCTAAAATGAGCAGGACAAGGTCCACCCTACACACCAACAAACCCGGGGAGGGTCTTTATTCTGGAGAAACCTTCCATTCAAACCGGGGAACTCCTAGTTAGAAAAAGAATTACGGTTATCGCCTGATTGATTTAGTGATAAAAACTCTCCATAATAGCTAGAACCCTTGATTTTTCAAAAGGCACTTTGGAGCCATCCACTCATTTGCAGCCTGGATACATCTAAGCTACTTTTTTAAAAGTGAGAATTGGAGCGAATTCACTAAATTAGTCCCTTGGGGAAGATTACGGCTAATTAATTAATTGCAAACATTTCCAGAGGGAGGGTATGTCAATTGTAAAGTAATAAAATTAGGTAGTTGAAATCCTTACTCAGCAACTTCGATTGCCCATTGGTTCCTAAGCAGATTTTTTTTTATGACAGAAAAATGGGGATGTGGTAGAGAAAAAGCATTAGGTCTGTCCCTTGACGAGCCGGTTGCAAAGGAGAAACTACCACATGGAGCATATTGATTTTTAGCTGATTTATAAGACCTCTGTGGTATCAGTGTGTGCAAACGGCCTCCAGGCCTCCCTTTCCTCTCTGCTCTCTAGGATTCGAGAAAAGCAACATGGTTTTTCAAAAAAAAAAAAAAAAAAAAAAAAAGAGCACAGGAGGAAGAACAAGGGTGAAGAGAACAGGTTTCGTGGTCAGGCCCCTTTTTCCATTGTCTCCCCAGTTGCTTTTGGTGCCAGAACATCTTCCCCAGAGGGAGCCTCCTATTTCCGGGCCTGGGAGACCTGGCCTGAGTGTTTCTGTCCCAGGGAGAGGGCGTGCCCACCCACAGCGACCCTAGCCTGGGCTGCTGACACGTGGCCGTCACCACCATGAGAGTTCAGTAGGGTTCCCTAAAACTGGTTCTCAGGAAGCGTGCCTATATTTCCCTTCATTTTGGGATTCCATTTGGGATCCATAACTAAACAAAGCCAGTGGTTAAACCGATGCCAACCTCCATCTGGCACAAACCTCAGGTGGAAAGAAGCCTGTTTCTTGGGATGCCTGAATCAGGGACCTAGCGGTGGCATTTGCTCTCGACCTCCTGACTGTCAACAGGCACCTGCTTCAGCATGGCAGTCCCCTGAGCTCCACCAGGCTGGCTTGGGATGGCTTTGTTCAGCGGCGATTCATTTGGTTGTGGGGAAAATGCCCAACTGCATTTGTGGAGACAGAGAATTTTGTTGAAGCAAGGAAAGTAACCCATCAAATACAGACCCTCCCAGTTATATTTAAGGGAGTCAATTGGGTGAATGTATTTTAAACAATGGTACGGATTCTTCTGTTGTATCATGCAACACGTCCTGGTATTTCCTCTAGCTGCTCATTAAAACAAATAGGAAACAAAGTAAGCAATCAAAGGCCTATTTGGAGCAGGGAGGGTCTTAATAATCTACCTTTTTTTTCTCACGTTGTTTTGCTTTAAATGCATCGGAGGTCTCAGCAGGCAGAGTAAAGGATGTGTCTTTGACAGTAAACTTGAGTACAAGTGTCTCTCTTTCTTATACACACACAGAGGAAAACAAATCATAACGTGTTATTTTGGGTTAAATGCCCATCCTTTCCTAATGATTCGAAAAGACAGCAGATTTTTACCAGGCTAAGATGGAATATATGACTAATATGGGCACAATAAGATAGAGGAAAATGTACCAGATTATATTGTTCAAGTACAGACTTTTGAGGGACTATTTTTGAACTGAGAGGAATGAAATTCCCTCCAATCTATGCATGAATGAACAAGTCCATCTGGACAGACACATGTATAATTTATACTGACCAGTCACCGCAGGTCTCCCCGAGTGAAGCCGAAATGAACACTAATTGTGTTGACGGAAGGAGTATGTGTGGCATCTGATTGTGAAACGTGCTGTGCTCCCGCCTTGCCTGGCTACGCATTGTCACCCGCGACTCTGGCATCAGGAGGGGAAAATGAAAAGGGACTGATTCCCAGGTGAGGGTGTTGACATTGCCTGGCAGGAAGGTGCCAAACAGAAAGAAGGAAGTGTTGAATGAATGAAAACCAAAAATGAGGCAGAGGCCCTGCTGTGTCCGCAAGCCAAGCATAACCCCCCCCCCCCCCAGAGTTGAAGAGGATAGCTTATTCATGACGCTGTTCCTTTGCCTTCACTGCATACTTGGAGCTTTCCCCAATATGTCTCTGCTTTTTCTTATTTAAGGCTCATGGTGAGGAGGTTGGAGAGGTGAGAAGCAAAGCCAAGATCTCATAACCCAGTAGATGACAGGAGGGACCCAAATCCAGACCTCCCGACATTGGGTCTCTCCACAGATCATATTTCAAACACAGGGAGAGTCTGGCCCTGCCTGCCCAGAGATGGGGCTGACTTCGGTTGGATGAGAGAATTTGCATGTAGCTCTGGATGATGTGGGGTAATTTAGCAGCGAAAATATCTAAAGAGGAGCCACTGGGGGCACCTCAGTTCAGGGTCACTGCTATGTGCATTTATACCAACCTGTGTTACGAAAGAGCTTATATAATAATTTGGGAGTTTTAGAAATTTGGTGTGGATCATTCATCGATCAAAATGGAAAACATCAAGCAGACCCAGCTGTGACTAAGTAATAAAACAAAAAAAGGCAACAAAAAAAAAGCCTCAAAAACATCCAGCCAGGGTTATGTCTATGTATGCACATTGGTTTAAAAAAACTATGAGTTGAATTTTGTTAGTGGCCGTTTCTAGAAAGAGGAAACGTTACTGATCTTCTTTTTTGTTAGCCTGTAGACTGGAGAGTTTAGGGCATTGGGTACTTCCTTTCAAAGTGGTTGTTTTGTATTGAAATTCTTGATTGTTTTATCCTGTGGACGACGACGGCTTTCTCACGATAGGCTCAAAGCGACTCATGTGTTTTCAAAGAATGAAAATGGAAAGTGAACAACACATGTTAGGCTTGGAAAGCAGGGAGCAGTTTTTGGAGCTCGAGTCCTCAGGGGAAGAACTGCACGGAAAACAGAAAGACCTTAAAGACCTGAGGTAAGGGGCTGTGGTCTTCCTCCCCTTTGTGACAGGGCATGGTCATGAGGGTACAGTTGGGGACAGAATCAAGGCCTGGACAGATGGGGTTGGGGCTCTGACTGCCCCTGCGTTTTACCACCTGGCCTTGCTCACGGTCACTTTATATGGACTGACTTATAAGGACTTTTGAGTTTATAAGGGTGTCTTGTCATCCTTTCCCCTGGCACAGCGGCACAGTCACAGACTTTGAGGTTTCGGTTCAAATAGGAGCAGCTTCAAGCCGACCACCTTTTTGTTTTATTTAAGGGCATTTCTCCCACATTTCTCCCACGTTTAAAGCTGTTGAACTGACCCAGGGCCCTGTCTCTGGAGCCACAGGGCTCCCTGCTTCAGGGAAGCTGGGACCACTGGTGATGTCACGTGCTGGCCTTGGTAATTTATGACAGTTCTTCACAAATCAATAAAAAAATATGCGAAGTAGATCATTTTTAAAGGAAAAAGAAAAGGGAAACATGGGAGACGTGCCCATTAAGGGCACAGCCGTTCTAATACTGGCGTGTCCGCTTGGGTCTGCAATTAAAAACATTCTGATAATAAATCTCCCCGCAGGCCCTTGTAATGCTTTTAACTTTCCCGAAGGTTCAAATTGGTATCCCAAAAATGTGCCAGGACTCTCACGAGGTATTTTATAGACTCATAAATAAATACGGCAATTAATCTCTGCTGTATTTCTTTCGTCTTTAATGACAATTTATTACGGCATTCACCCGCTCGGTGCACAAAAACTCTAATGCACTTAAAATCGGATTTCAAACCAAACATTTTATGGGAAAATATAGTATTGATCATCCATTTAAAGATATCACGAAGATGATTCATAACCTGCTATAAAAAAGGGTCTCAGGAGGGCCCTACAAACGAACGAGGTGGTGAGATAGTCTATTCATGAAGCCAGAGCAAGCGGACCCGTTCCTCTTGTTTTCTTCATTTATCTCGGACTTCGCCAGCTCTGATGACTTTTGCATGTTGCTGTTTGGTAAGAAAAATCCCCTTCACAACATTTTTCACAGTGACAGGAGGTTGTGGAATTTCTGTTGCGATTTTTCTGCTGCAATTCTGTCTGCCAGAGAGTTTCAGGGTCCATAGAGAGGTTTCTGCTACTTTGTCATCAAAACTATGGCAGGGTCCACATCACGGTGATTTGCTATTGGCCTAAAGGGCAGGTGCTAAGTCACCCTGTGTCCCTGGTGGTCTATGGTCCTAGGGTACCATGGATGCTTGAATGGCTTTCATGTGCACACCGTACCTAACGTGCCAATGAGGATGTCGGAGAACCTGAAGGTGCTGGCCTCTCTTTTCAGGTAACATCCAGCCCATCTGGGAAGAACAGCATGTATCAGTCACACAACAGACATTTATGGAGTGCCTACTACATGTCAGGCGTGGTTCTCAGAGGTGCGGGTACATTGCTGAACTAAACAGGTTTCTGCTTTCATGCAGGCTCCATTCTCACGAGTCAACTAGTTCCACATCACTCTGGAATCACTTATCCAGCGCCACAGTGGTTTGGGGAAAGTGACCTAATGTTTCTGGAATGATCACAGGACTCTAGACCTGAGGGTAAGCACTTGTTACGTTACCCCGGATTCATTCCTTTAGTAAGTATTTATTGAGCGCTTGTTATTAAAGATCACCGAGTTAGGGGCTGGGGATTTGGGTAGTCAGCAAGACAATTAAAATCCCTGGTCCCGTGGCATTTAGAGTATAGCTATAATATCTACCTGAAATTGGAGAGCATTTGTTCTGTTTCATAGAAGCTGGGGCCTAAGAGAGCGTACCTTGCCCGGCGTATTAGAACCAGTATTGAAATTCTGGGGTTGAGCTCAGGCTGCCGCTGGCTTCCAAGACCTGAGAAAAGAACTTATTTCAGATGAAACACTTAATTGCCAAGATGATGCCATTTCGAGAAGTGACCACCTCCCTTAATACACAGTTGATGTGGTCTTCTTGTTCCTGTTCTATCAAGTGGGTGGCTCCCTCCCCCGCACCCACCCCCATGCAACGTGGAATACCTGCATAGAAACGAAAAAGTCGGGGCAGCCTGACAGACGTTTTGTGTCTTCGACACTAACACTTTGGATACATAGCTGATGTTTTGTTTCTTTTCTTTTTTTTTTGTACATTTGACTTCAACTGATGACCAGTACCATATGTAACGTCTAAATGACTAAGGCAACACGTCTCTTGTACGTCTTGGTTGATGGGTGTGAGGGAGGGAGCAAGCCCAGGGTGGGATTTAGGGCCTTGGGGCTTTGGCTGCTTCAAACCCACCCTCACTACCTACTCTGTGTCTCGCAAGCTCATGACACGCTCTCTTCCATTCTCCTCGTCTCTCTGGGGGTAAAACAGGGAAGGGTTTCCTACGCCCTTTTCACAGATGAGCAACTGAGGTTCAGGGGAACAAAGCCACCGCTTTAGGCCACATAACTGAAGGGCGTTTGTGACAACCTGGGAACTACTGAGTCTTTGAATGTCACGGTCCTCTTATGGGCTTCCGCACCTCGTGCAAGAAAGCACAGTCAGATGTGGGAGTTCCACGCAGGCGGGGGGAGGTGGCCTGCAGCTCTGCCCATCACATACTCTTCCGGTTTTGCAATTGGATGTCCCTGGACATTTCACAGCCACCCATGCCTCTGCTTCCTAATTGTCCAGGTTCGCTCTGACCACGAGTTCCAAAGACGAAGACAGTCTGTAGTGTTCACAGCAGCCCCACGGACACGGGGCCCAGGAGGAGACACTGAATCCACAGCGATCAAGCCCCCCCCCCCATGCAACCTGGGCTCAGCTCTCCTCATCTGCTTTTCTCCTCTGCCCCGAAGCTGGCATCTTCCCCAGGCGGTGCCTGGGGTTGCTCTGGGGGCGTGCATCTCTGAGTCCGAAAAGACGGAGGCATCAGGTTCAGTGTTTATCTTGCGGCCGGGAGAAAATGAACTCGACCGAGACAGCATGAAATACACGTGTGGGATTAGACTGTCAGGGCAGACCAGGGACCATAAACTATCTCACGTGTCACTTTCCAGCTCCAGGGCAGGGACAGAGCAGAGGGGAAACCTGCAACTCTAATTATCAAATATAAATTTATACGCATATAAAAGGGAAGCCTGAGAGTTTTAACCACTAAGTTTGGATATTAACCACTAAAATTCCCCCTCACATTCTAAGCACCACAGGGCTATGGAAAAGTGGTGTGGGGATTAAGGGCATCTTTCTGCTTTGGGACTAATTTATTGCTTTAGATTAGGCAGCGAGGAGAGAAGGGGAAAAGTGATACGGGGTTGCTTCTCTGCAAAAGTTAAACCGGAATAACGGGAAGGGTCCTGCCCTTGGCTGTAAGTGCTCAATGATGAAGAATAAGGTGGCCAAGAGCTGAAGGGTGCAAAGTGCTGATCGCCCGGGAGGCTTCGGACAAGTCTCTTCCCCTTTGGAAGCGTCGGTTTGCCCATCTTCCAAAAGGAGAACTTGAGGCCAGTGGCTGGCCAGCGTGCCTGGGGCTTCCATCTTTATGAGAGTCATGTCTCGCTTCCTTTCCCAGGACTCTAAACTCCTCTTCTACCTGGGAAGTTCCTTCCATCATGGATGGCGCGTTCCCATCGTTCGAACATCTTTAAAAAGCATGCACACTCACCCTCACCCTCTGAGATTCAGAGCAAGCCTGCAGTAGGGTCTGGACATTTGTATTCATGAAAAATAGAAAATAAAAGCAGAGCGCGCACTCAGTAAAAGGCCCGACTCCCCATGGGAGATGGGATTGATTGTCGAGCTGATGTCCCCTCCCTGCTTCCTCCTGGCTGAGCATCCTGCTGCTGTCCCAGGTGCCACACGCTGCCTTGGCTCCTTGCTCCTGGCTTTCTGTTGTCTTTCGCAACAGGGTGAGAAAGCCATGCTGTGCAAGCCGATTCCAGCCACGGAGACTTGGAGGAAACCTGTGTGGAGAATTCTGGGAAAGCATTTGTTTTCATGATAAAAGAAGACAGACATCGGGGTGGCATTTTCCTCTCTCTCTGAGTCTTAAACACGGACTGGAATGGAAGCATTCGCTTCTTCATTCAGCAAACGTTCATTGAGCACTTACTCTGTTTTGGGTGAAATTTCAAGGTGCCGAGATACACCTGGGGACAAGACCAGGTCCCCTCTTCACCGAGCTGGCATTCTGCAGCAGAAGACGGACAGGGTGCGGGGGTAAAACATAGAGATACGACATACAGAGAGATGCTATGGAGGAAAAAATAAAGCAAGGAAGGGGAGATACTGGGAAGACACTTGCACAGAAGCAGCCTGCTCTCAGGGTGCCAGTAAAAGTCCACCGTAAAGTCCACTGCTCTTGGACTTTTAGTTACGCCAGACAAATAAACTGGTTTCGTTTCCATCTCTGTTAATTGGGTCTTCTATTACTTACAGAGGAATACATTCCCGAGACACGGTAGTGGGGGTGCAAAGAGACAAATAAGCCACCTGATTACCTCAGGACCCCTAAGAGTTTCTTGGCTGCCTTCCAGAAAATTTCCATGTTCATCCAAGCCATAAAAGTGGGAGCTATATTTACAAGCTCTCTCTTCTCCGCCCCCCCACACAATTAATAACAGTATAACAGGGTGGCTGGGAGTCTAAAGGTGGCGGCCTGTGTAGAATAGCGTGGTAGAGAGGTTACCTATAGAGTGGTTTCGCCACTTCCTGCCCATGTGATCTTGGACTAGTTTCTTAGTCCCTGTTTTTCAATGTCTCCATCGGTATAATGGAGATAATAAGCCTATCATGCAGATTTCTCCTGATGACTTCATTCATATTACTACGAGAAGCACCTAGAACTGTCCCTGGCACATTGGAACCCCGTGCAAATGTTTGCTAGTTTATGTACAGTGAGTATCGTCCTGTTCACTTAACAGTCGACTAATAAATACATCTTTCCAACATGCACACGGATAGGCCTCCTTTTTGACCCCTGTGTAGTATTCCTCATCACAGAGGCCATCAGTATCTTTTTCTCTGAATGTCCCTGGCGTATGTTGATGAAGCCTCTTGATGGAGAGTTATGCTCTAGGGGGTGAGTCCCCACACAGGCTGGTGAATGGCGAACAGGGGAATCTGCTGGGAACTACCTTCTCTTCCCTATTGGCCGTCTCTTCACATCTCCCTCACTCTCAAGCCCTGGTCTGTCTCCCCTCTGTAGATGCCCATTCTACTTCAACACCAAAGAATTGGATCTCTGTAGACTTTTCTCCCATGAGGCTGCATGTTCTAGTTTCAGATGGACTCGAAACTAAATAAATAAAATGGAAACGAACCCAGAAGTCCTCTTTGTAGAGAGGGGACACGGTAGCTGATTTGGTGGCATTAATCCCAGGAGGGAGGCAGTATTTAAACAACAGCTGGCCCGAGGGGGATCACAGACAAGAAAGAAATCAGATAATAATGATGCAACATGTTAAACACAACGAGGGAGAATGAGCATAAAAGGCAATGGGAGTAATTAATTTTAACTAATTGCGCCTTATAGCCGTGTGCAGAAGACAAAGAAATAATCTGCCTGTGAGAGACATGCTGGGATTTTAATCGAGAAGGTGGAGAGGCACTCCAGGTGAGAGAAGGGACAGCTTACGCATAGCCATGGGTGAGGGATTTGGAGATCACAATATTAGGGCGGATGGGAGGTGACTGGGGCAGACTGAGGAGGGTGCTGGGTCTCTGAGGAGCAGCTCTGGGTTTTAGCAAGGTTGTGCATCACATCGCTGGTGAGACGCAGCATCTTCTAGAAGGCTAACCCTTGCCCAGGCACACACTCTCTGCTTCTCCCTGGTCCCACCCACCCAGCTGTACCATTCTATGAGGACTCCAACAGAAAGTAGGCAAAGTTGCTGAGTTTTGGGGAGAAATACAGAAAAGTAGGTCATGGGTGGTGGGAAGGCTGAAGAGGGTATGTTTGGGTCTTGAGGGTGGGCGGGGTAAAGCCCGATATTAGTTCAGGTTTTGTTGGTTGCTGCAGCAGACAGATCCTGTCTCAGTCAAGTGGAACAAAAAGATAAAAGGGCAAATTTGATGCCCCACTTGGAGGAGTCCCATTCAGAAATCTCAGCAAGAGGCCCAGGGACTTTCTCCCCGGGGGGCTGCCAGGAAGGAGTCTTGGCTTCCAATAGCTGTGCCCCTTTGGATACGTGTCATATTTCTGAGAGTGAGAGGGAGTATCTGATTGGTCCATTTTTGGTCTAGTATCTTTGTGGCTGGCCCAATCAGCTGTGGCCACAGAATGGTGGGAGTGATGGCCCAAATTTGGGCACTCGGGGTGGGGGTAACTGTTGTGAGCCAAGGAACACCCCCCCAATCCAAAGTGGGGGATCAGAGAGTAAATCAGGGCGATTCCCATGAACAAAGCAAAGCCGTCCTGTGTCCAGTGCTGGAGGGGGCAGTTCGAGCCACCCCTGCTGGATGCAGGCCCTCAGAAGTTTGGACCCCATGATTTACGGAGGCAACAGGAGCCAACAAATCCATTCAGCACACGGGAAATATTTCAAGTGAGACACAGGGGACCCAGAGCAAGTCTTAGAGAAGATGGATTTACATCTGGCAATAAAATCCCAACTCCAGTAACCTTTGCACTCAGGTCTGGATTTTGTCTGGATCTTAAAGCTTTTATAAGTGTTTAAGAGCATGAACTCTGTAAGGGTGGAAATTTCTCTTGCCTTCTCTCCCCTAGGGACCGGGCTGCCAGAACGAGATTGGGGGCCCTCTACTTTTTATTCTCTTGGTCCTGGAACTCTTTGCCTTCAGAATGTTTTATGTCTTGCCCATGGATGGGCTTGGCCTCACGGTCTCTAAGGTGATGCACCTGACCTTGCCGCATGCCAGCGTCCTTACCTGTGAAATTAGGGCATTCCTCCCAACCTCACAGGGCTGTCACGAGCACAAACTCCAGAGCATACTTGAAAACATTTTGTAAAGTAACAAATAAGCAAATGCAATTATTTTGTGATCTTGCCACAGCTAAGCTTACTTTGGAGGTAATAAACTGTTGCTTTGGGTCCCGGCTCTTGCCTCCCTGAGCCTCAGTCTTCACATCTGTGGAGTGGGGACGATAGTGCCCATCTCGTGATATTATTGTGAGGGTTAAAGGTTAATGAATGCATGTGGTCTTGCCAGGATCTGAAATAGAGCCAAGACATAATACATGACAACCGTCCCCACCTCCTGTGGACATGTTCCAGAAGTCAAATCCAACATTTATGGCAGACGCAGGTGTTGGAGTCTAAGAGGCCACTGGTGTCCCGATTTGTGGCAGATATTTCCAGTGCACATCTGTATACTCTTCCCCTCTCCTTCCTGGGCAAGCTGGGGACAACACATTTGAGCCCCCTTGCAGTTAGACAGGGCCACGCTACCCATTGGGCCGCAGAAGTGTGAGTAATATGAGTCCCTCCCAGGCTGAGGCAGGGACAAGGTTCTGGATGAGATGCCCCTCATTCTCTTCCCTGAGTCTGCAGATACGCAGGCCTCGTGCTGATGGGTGGAGCCACTGGGTCCCTGAGTCACCACGTGGAGGATGGAGGAGGTGGGTGGAGCTTAGGATTCTCAAACTTGTAGCAAACTTTGTAAACTTGAAGCTATTGAGATCTGAGAGACGTTTGTTATTGTAGCACTTCTAACCTGTCCCAATGAATGCACTATAGTCTATCGCTTGCTACGTGTGTGATCTTGGGCCAGTGGCTAAACTTCGGTGAGTCTTACTTTGCTTATCTGCAAAGCAAGATTAAAAGAGCTGTTACTCAAATGGTTGTTAAGTGGAATGATGCATGTGAAATGCTCGGCTTAGAGTTCGGCATGCAGAACGTGTTTGATGAACGACGGCAGTAGGGATAGTATGGTGGTGATGATGATGATGAGGGTGATGATGACCATGAGGGTGACTCAGAAGCTGGGTGCAGTAACTGACTGAACCCTTCTGTTCGGGTAGAAGGGCCCAGACAGTCTCCAACTCTGGTCAGGGTTGGAGAGAACCTTCTCTGGCCCATGTTAGTACGTGGTTTATTGTATCACGTCATATCAATTAAATGCCAGCTTCTGTGGTTGTCTATGCAACTTCCTAGCCTGTAGCTACAGAAAAGAATAGATGCAATAAAATTAGACTTATTTGGGAAAGCTCTTAACTAGGAAGTTCAGCCAGCATGAGTCCTTCTACTCTGTGTCAGTCACGCCTTATTTTGTTACACGAGAATGTGAAGTCAGATGCTGGCAAGGCACTGCCACCACTGTGGGATGGATGAGAGCCGGTACGTGTCTGCAGGAGCTCAACGTCCACACAGTGCTGAAAGCAACTGTGCCCTGGGCTCCTGTCAGACGGGAACCGGTGAGGACAGCCCCGCCCTCCCTTTGCCCCCATACCAGGTTGTACACAGTGTGAGTCCATGGAAGGAACGCGAATCTCCATTCTAGCTCTGCTGGTTTCTAGCTTTGTGTTTGGGTAAACATCTTGACCTCTGTCAGCCTGAGGTTTTTTGTCTTTAAAAGGGGTGGGGTAATCATTGCCACCGTATGATGAGAATTAATTACAAGGCATGTAACATACCCTGAACAGAGCTTAGCATTTAACAGATGCTGAATAAACCTCGGTAGTTCCTACACTCTTTGAGATTCTGCATGATCCTGTACTTCCAACACCTGGACCATAGAAAGTGCTTCGTATGTACCGACAGCATTGCAGGCAGAAAAGATTATTTTCCACAATTAGGCACTGCTGGGGAGAAACCCTTTTGATGGCATTTGAATTATTTGTATCTTTGGTATCCACTTTTGGTTTTGCAGAAACATTCATTTCTATTAATGCATTTTCAACTAATTAATTTTGAACCCCTGTTATAGAATTAGGTGACTTATATTTTTCAGTTCTTAGCCAGTTACCATTATTGGAGTGAGGCCCCTTCTTGCTGACTTGACTTCCTCCTGTCCTTATGATCCCTGTTTTTGCTCCCCTCCCGTGATAATATGGAATATGGAACATGGTTTTGTGTACCTGTTATGTTGCAGGTTTGTGTAATTTATGTGTATTGGATGGAACTGAAAACTTCACTCTCTGTCCTACTTTTCTCATGATGTATTCTGTTTTGGGGGCCTTCCCCCCTTACTCTATGTGCATCAAGGTCGCTATTCCTCACTACTGTGGTATATGCTCTGTAGACACTTCTTATTAACCAGAAAATTGGACTTAGCAGAACACCTTTATTCCCCAGCCAAGACCACTCTACTAGAAATGTTGTCTTCATTTTGCACTGAGTCAATCAGTCGTCCAATTACGGCATCTTGATGCTATTATATCAACAATGATGGCACATGCCCGCGCAGAGAATTAGGGTAGGAAATTACAGTAGGAGAGAACTTCGCTTTTAGTAAAGCAAAGTTCTTTGATTTGAGGTCTTCCTGTTATGTGTATACATGCTCATGCCTGCTTTTGCCTGCATGGCACTTTCCTGTGTTTTAAATAAATATGCCAATTTACATAATGGAAGGGAATTTTCATGGTGCATGATAATATAAACTCGGGGCTTTGATGTCAATGATGACGATTTATAACCCACAGGGAAAGTAGCCGCAAATTCACAGGCAGGCGACCTGGCTTCAAGGGGGGCTTCTGCCTCTTGTTAACAGAGTGAGTTGGGTCAGGCTGTTGAACCTTTTCTGTGAAAGGGGAAGGTACTAAATACAGGGCTGCCATAGGGTTAGATGGGATAGCAACTAGGCTATCCCAGAAATACTGGAGAAATGCAGCATCCAAATATATATACACACAGTTTCAAACATGAAGGTTTATGATGCAATGGAATCAGTGCTCATTTGAGGGCTGGCTCCAAAGAGCCCCTTTCCTGTTTTGTGTCCATGGAAGACCCGGCTCACTGAGCTGACCCAGCAGCTGCCTGACGCTTTTCAGCTCAGCTGTCCAGGAGGATGGACGACTGACTAGAGCCGACTTGCCCCCCGCATTTCCTACGGGTCATTCCTGGATTCAGGCTCTGTGCTGGGTGCCCAGGGGAGGAGCAGAGATGAAAATGTGGCCCCAGGTTTGCTTTCATCAAGTTTCAACCTCTGCGGGAGAGATAGACGTAGTTAACTCCGAAACAAGACAAAGTCTCATCGCATGAGAAATCATCCCAGTTCTATGGATACCCAGACGAATGGGAAATCGACTCCCTGCGTGGCCATCACTGGAAGCTTCTTTCCGCTGAGGCTTCAAGGTCAGAGAGGATCTGGGAGGGGCACACGTCGGGGGGACCTTCTCAGGGTGCTCGCTTCGGCGGCACGTTTACTAACATCCGAACGATGTAGAGAAGATTAGCGCGGCCCCTGTGCAAGGACGACACGCAGATTCATGAAGCGTTCCGAGGGTCGGGGTGGGGGTAGGGACAGGGAGAGTGGTGGCGGGAAAATGGAGACAACTGTATTCAAACATCAATGAAAAAATATTACAAAAAGAAAAGCAAGAAAATTGAATAAAACAAACATAAGGGGGAATTTGAAAAGAAATTAAAAAAATAATTTTGCCTTATATACATCTGTATTATTTGAATTGTTAAAATGATCATTTTTAAATTTAAAAAAAATCTTATGAAACAGACAGTCAGAATGTCTGGCACAAATAATGGGCCCCAAGTTGAAGGGGCCGTCATTTCAAGGAACCGTAGAAGTGGTCACCGCACGTCCTGCGTGGCAGCTGCCATTGGCTGAGCGCTCTGGAGGCTGTGGGTCACTAGTGTGGGCCTCGTACCCCAGTGGCCTCGCTGGCCACCTGCCAGAGGTCTGCACATGGCAACATGGGATGAGAAACAAACCTGAAATCCAACCACAACAGACGTGGGGTCCAGAACTGGACACCTGCTAACTGTAGTGACAGGAAGTAGAGAGGCACACCATGGTTTTGATTTTCTCCTGGGTCGAGGTCAAGGTCAAGGGGCCTTTTGTAAGTAAAGTTACTCCCACATCGCAGACTCGGAACGGGGCTTACCATTCCCATGGATTACAGCGGCCACGTGCCCAGGACAGAGTCTTGACTGAAGGCAAGAGCACGCGCTTTGAAAAGATACCACCTTGGGGTTAAATGCCAACCCCGTTTCCTTTCTGGGTGCACCTCAGACAAGCGACTTCACTGCACCGGGCCTTGGTTTCCTCTTCATAAAAGGAAGGTGGTAGGTAGTATGTACTCCTCAGACTTGTCTGCACTGAGCTAACGTGTGAGAGCCGCCGGGGATGCTCTGAACGGAGCTGTGTCATTGGAAGGAGGTCTGAAGTCTTGCGAGCTGCCCAGGAAGCTGCCCAGCGCTTCCGAGTGCACGGAAGGCTCTGACCATTTACCGCATCTCCAAGCCGGCTGTGCAACAATGAACGGCTCCGCCCACTCCTGCTGAGCCCTGCTCAGGGAGACCCGCCCTGCATCAGTGGTTCCCCACGTGGCCGTGCATTAGGATCGTTTGGTCCATCCCAGACCACTGAAACCAGGACTTCAGGGCCAGGCTCAGGAATCAGCATTTCGAAGGTCTCTATCAGCGTTGGGACTAAGGGAAAGCAAATGAGCTGCCTACTTGGCAAAATTTAAGGCAGCACCCTCTGTCAGGTGCCAATCCTGTATCTGTGGGACCCTGAAAGGGAGAGCCTCCTTAACTATTATACCCCAGGTGCCCCACTGTGCTCACCCCGGTCCGGGGTCTCCTCCCTGGGTGACTCCAATCATGGGACACAATATTAGTAACTATTAAAGTGATGAACTTGTATAATGTATTCATGGGCCTCAGCAGTGACCTGGCTCCAGCCCCCCACCTTGTTCTCTCTTTCCACCCCTCCCCCCTCTATTACTTCCGTGACAAGTGGAATTAACTGTTTAGCCCCGAACTTCCAAATCATCATGGTATCCAGCAAACAAATGGTTCTTTCATTAAAGGGACCTACACTCTCAAGTGCATAGTTTAACCTATTTTTCTCCTGACCCCTCCCAGGGGAAATGCCTGTGTGTTACCCCGGCAACTTACCCAGATTGCCTTGCCAATGACTCTGGGGGTTCCACAGGGAGGGTCTGCTTTATGAACCACTCCTGGCCGCAGAACTTTGCTTGCTACAGTTTTTACAGTGTTACGTGGCAATGGGTGCTTCTCGTGAGAATGAAAAACACATTCATTCATTGTCATGACACCCCATCACATAGAAACCGGCCCGGCACATAGTAGGCACTTTAAAAATATGAGTGAATGAGTGAATGGTCCTATAGACTCTTATCTTCTTCCTTTGAACCTAGTGGTCCAATTTCACCATTATTCTCTCTTGGAGCTGCTTGAAGGCAGAGACTGAGGATCAGAACCATATCTGGCACACAGTAGGAGCACAGGAAACCTTTCTTACAATGAAGAGAGCACCAGGGCCCCTGGAACCCATGTCTTTTCTCTCAGCCTGTGAGTAGGTTAAAAAAGCTGCCAAGGAAAAGTGCCAACAGTAGCTCACCATTAGTAGCTGAGAAAAGCCTAGTGTTTAAACCGGGAGCCTGCTTTCGACTGGTGGGGGCGGCAGGTCCAGCTGTGGACAGTGGGGAGGCTCAGGCTTGCTCCTGCTTAGGAAGGCAAGCCATGGCCAGAGGGCCTGAGGTAGACTTATTCCAGGAGGAGGTGCTGGGGAGAGGCCCTGGACCTCGGACAAACGTCAGATATGCTACCAGCGGCTTCTGTTGGAGGACGTCTATTGGTGAAAGAGACCCACGATTCAGACCTGCACAGCAGCCAAAAATCTTATTTTTATTAAAATGCTCTGTGCTCCGGGGTACCAGGGAGTTAAGCTGATCTGCCTTTGAGAGTGTGTTTGCTCAGAGCACACGATTAGATACTTTGTCTCCTTTAAAATAATACTAAGAGCCGGGCTTTCTGACTCTCTGCTCCTGCCCTGCATTGCTGCCTGCAAAAATCCAGCCAGGAGACCAGACCACGCGCCCTTCTGGGAAGAGGCTTGAGGTATCACGAGGAGGCCTCTCTGACTGCTGGGGTCCGCAGCAGTTCGCAAGCTGGAGGGAACCAACCGGTTTGATCTGGAATGCGTCATTTGTGAAAACATGTCTTTATTCACCAGGATGAAGTTAGTGCCGCCGGGTGGACAGCCTGTTTACAAATGCTATCAAATCCTTCACAGTAGCATTCCTCATGGATAAGAGATTTTTATCGGGATCATTTATTTATAAAGAAAATACTGCCTATCACGGCATCGTCACGCTCCCCATCAATCAGCTTTCCTGTCTTTCACATGGCATTCAAGCCCGTTAGTACTGGGGAGATAGAATGTATACATTTGATTATCCCTCGGCATTGCGTGATTTAAAAGAAGAAGAAGAAGAAAAAGAGATCCCTCCCCAACAGCAAATCCTTTAACGTGATTGCTTTTTATGGGCCCTGTTCACAGAGTTTTGTGTTTCTCTGAGTATGGAAAGGCATCTCGTAACACATGTTACGCTGGAGTCCTCGGCAGGCTTGACTCGTAAATAACCTCTCTCCTTAAGTGGTGCTAACTGTATTATTTTTCTCCTGCGAACTTGGGGTCTCCCACACACGATTCTCTCTGTTTGCAAAGAATAAAATGCGGGCGAGATCCGCCTTCCTAATTCAAGAATAAACTCGAAGAAATGTCATGTTTAAATCTGCATGAATGCTGGGACCGCGAGCGCTGCACCAGTGAGCAGCCGGCAGCTCCTCCCTCCGCCCAGATTGGAAGAACCAGCTCCTGAAACCCCGTTCTTCTCCGTTTAAATCTCTCCTGCCTGGCCCGTGACAAAGAGCCTTCGTATGTTCTCCCGAAGAGCCGTAGGCACAGGATTGTGGGTTCTTATACGTCTTATTTTAGGCATCAGCAGCAAAGTACACCAAAGGCAAATTTATGTTTAGGGGTATCAATAAAACATAACCAAGAGTCTGCTAAATTAGTAATCATGAGAAACCTACCCAGTTCCCGCTTGCATGAGTTTTCTCCCTCTCTCTCTCTCTCAATATTACAAAGCAACTTTTAAAGCATTTGCCTTTGGTGGGAGGTGGTCTCTTAAGACAACGCGCGCTTCAATATCTCAGAGGTACCTCAAGGCCTTCGTGTTGCATCGGGGTATCCAGGGAGAGCTACACTAAAATCTAATAATGGTTTTACGTTAAATGCCTTCAAGTACCGCCAAGGGTCTCTACAACCAGACGTCCATCATGCAAAGGCATAATTTATCAGCACGACAGGAAAGACAGTGTTTGTCAGCCCTTGTTATGAACGCAAATGAATAGATAGTTGTGCCCGGGCTGCTAAAAGCTTTCTTTCAATGTCATGGTTACCCAGGAATAACACATGGAACCGTTTACTCGCGAGGGACCATTACTCCCCGTCTTACCACCAGGATGATGGGTTTTCTGAAGGGACGTACACAGAAAGGCCGAAAGGAAGATGCCTCTGCCCGCCCCAACCATGAGGCAGTGCTCGGCCAGGCCCTGCCCAAGGCAAAGCTCTTTTCATTCTGATGACGTCACACTCGGACCCAGAGCTTTCCTCAGCACTGGGGCAGCAGAGCCATCTGGTACCCCCATAAGGCAGCATGCAGGCGGGTGCCTGGGTATGGTTTCTCACCGGTGCCTAAGCCATTTGCAAAAGGCCAAAGGATGAGAAAACAGGCAATTATCTTCCTGGGCTGCTGGGATGTGAGGCTGGAAGGCCTCCGAGATAAGTCGTTAGGGTGGTTTCCATTTTCCTTTTAGCCTGAGAACTCTTTCTTCTCTCAAAATCATATGCAGACCTCTGAGTATAAAAGAGATAAAAGCAGAAATCTCTGGTGAATGTAAGCTGAGGGGGCTCAGAAGCCCACCCACGGAGCCCTGACCCTCCTCCTGCATCAGCTACCTAAGGGCCCAGCAGGACGGAATATCAAAACGGCCACTTATCAGCTTCGCTTGCCCCTGATCACACAAGAAGTAGCCAAGACTCAGAGAGGGCAAGTGACTTCTCCAAAGTCACCCAGAAAGGAACCGGAAATGCCAGTCAAGGGCTCTGTGTGCTGTGGTTACGAAGATTCAAAGCGCATAACCCGCTTTGTCGGCCACACCTTGTGAGCTTCAGAAGCCGTGTATTCATGGGGTTCTGACTTTTCCATCTGTTGCTTTATTCTTCCCGAAAGTGCTCAGGAGTCCTTCCAGCAGATTTAAAGATGGCAAATGACCCTGGTGACTCCTTCCACCTCATCATCTTCTTGTAAACTGGGTGCTTGCCACGTAGATTTCCTGTATTCGCTTACTGCACGCGATGCTGCAGAGAAGCTGGGACATTAGCTACTGTTTGAAAATCTATGGTTTCCTGGGCTCGGGTCCTCTCCACAGTCCTTGAAGCCACTTCAGCCACAT